TTTGTCATTATTGAAAGTTATAGTCTAATTCCCCTCTCTTTATCTTTTATTATTTCAGTCTCTCCCAACCCTATATCGTTAGGGTGAATCAAAGTGAAAACCCACTTACCGATTCGCCGTAACAATATATTATAATTATTATTTTTTTGAAAAATATTAATAGATTATTAAATTTATTATATTAAAAAAATTTTTTAAAATTTATTATCTTTATTAAGATTATTATTATTATTTATTTTATCATTTAATAAAATTATATTAATATCTATTTAATAATATTTTTTAATAGTTAGCAATAGGTTTGATATAGATTTCATAAGAAATTTAATAGAATATCTAATATTTATTATAAAAAGTAATAAAAATAAGATAATGATATAAGACTATTTTATTAAATTTTGACTTGATTTATTAGTAGTTTTAGAAAAATTACAGATCAGATCTATAAAAAACTTTTAAATAATTATATAATTTCTTTTATTAAAGATTTAAATAATAAAATAATATATATTTTTCAAGCTAACAATACTTCTATTCATAGAACTAATTTTGTATTTATTTAAAAAGAGAAAAATTTAATATCTTCTTTTTTATAGTTTACTTAAAGTTCAAATATCAATTTAATTGAGTATTTATGAGATCATTTTGAAGAAAATTGCATAAATACAAATTTATATTAAAAAAATAAGAAAGAGCTGACTTTAATTTTAAAAGATAAGTGATCTAAGATTGATAAAAATATTTTAAAAAATTTAGTAAATAGCATATCTTGAAGAGTTATTGCTATAATTACCATAAAAAAACTTACTTTATATTAATATTATAAATAAAAAGTTCATAACAAGAGAATTTCAAAAATATAAATTTTATTAAAGATTATAAATGCAATTTTTGAGAAAAATTATTTAAATATTAGATATAATTTTTGAATTTATATAAATTATCAAAAGTATCAGATACTTTTGATAAAGAGATATATATTTGAGTTCTTTTAAATATATTTTCAATTAAATTTAAATATTTTATTTAATAAAATACTATTTTACTCTTATTGTAAAACAAAAATAATTCTTATTTATTTTTTGATCTTGGTGAATATTTTCTTAATATCTTTCTAATTCATTTTATAAATATATTATAAAATTTAGATTTGATAATTAAAATAATTAATTATCAGGTTTTTTATTCTTTTTTTTAATTCAATTTAATATTATTAATAATATAAATTGAAATATTATTATCTTGAAATTAATAATCTTTATCGTTAAATTTTTCTTGAATTTATAATAAAAAATCATTTTTTAAGATATTAATATAATTTTTATAGTTCACTTTTCTATCTATTAATACTAAAAAATCAAGATCTTTACTTAAAAAACATCTTTATATTATTATTCTTTCTTTACTATATTTTACAGTTGAAATAGTATTATTAAGATTATATAATATATACAAAAATTAATTAAATATTAAAGTAATATAATTTAATAAAAATAAAATTATTTTTCAATAGAATAATAATTTTAAATATATAATAAATTTAACAAAAAACTAATTTATTAAAAATTTTCAATGTATTTAAAACTATTATTATATAACAAAACTGAAATTTATTACTTTAAATTACTTTTTTTTCTACTTTCTAATTGACTAATCTTCATGTTTCAGATATTAATTATACTAATTTTATTGCTGAATTTCTGTTAAAAGTAATTTATAAGCAGCAATATGAAAATAAATATCAAGCTTGTATAAATTTCTTTTAATTATTTTTTCTAATAATTTAATATTTATTTTGACTTTAAAATTTTTAGTTATTTATTCTAGTATTTTGAGGCTGTTTTAAAATAGTTTTCTTTAATTTTGTTTGGCATTATTATTTAAAATTAAGATTGATCAGAATATGTTAAAAATTCTGTAAATCCTGTTTCTTTGAATTTTTAATAATATCATGAATTGTAGACTTAGAAATACCAAGTATTTTCTTTCACTATGGCCTCCTTGAAATAAATCTCATTCATTTTGAGACAATTCATGTTATTCATTTTTAAATTTCATAAAAAAAAGATTAAAGAAAACAAATACTGATCATGCAAACAAAGTTTAAAATAAACCATAAAAGGTAATTAATTATTCTTTATATAATATAATATGTTAATAGTAATTATGTTATACAATTTTAAAAAAGAAATGTATGTGAACTACTGAATACTATATCGATCAAATAACACATTACTATTCCTTTCTTTGATTATTCAAATGAAATAAAGAGAAAATGCTGGTGGCTTAAAGAAAAATCGCTAATTCATAATTTTAGTAAAATTCACGCGTTGTCAAGAAAACAATCATTGCAGTGAATTTTTGATTATCACTGTCAACTTTATAAATGAATTAATTATTTAACGAGGACAAGGTATGAAAATCAAATTTCCAATGGGTCCCTTTTGAAGAATTTATCAATGTTGATTTTGCGGAAGGATTTATAAAGCATCACCTCGCTATATAAGATCTCGTATTGGATATCTATAAAGGAGTACGGTCTACGATACCATTTTATATTCCTGCATGTGCAAATTTATTTATTGGAAAACGTTGGGAGCTGGTGACTTTAATGCTTTATCTTCGATGATGATGATGTCAATAACTGGTGACTAAATTTTCCGTATTATAGCTCATAATACTAAAGAAGAACTTAAAGAGACCTTAAACTAGAAATGCAAAACTTAAAGGATAAAGAACAATGAAGCCATCTTTTTATAGTTATTTAATTTCATTGAACAGTACATAATTTTCAGGTTCTGCCAATCCTGGAAAATTATATTGCAACCGATTTTATAGAAGATTAGTGTTAGGGTTAAGATCATAAAACATTTTTAGATTTGTTGGATTTTGTTTTATCGAGTTGGAATCGGATGTTTTAAAATTTTTTGTCGATCACAGATGATCAGGACGGGAATTTTGCGTCATATGATGTCGGCCTCTATTATATAATTACATGTAATTTCGTCAATCTTCACAAAAATTTCGATTAATTCCAACCAATAGCAGCCAGGTAACTATATAGATGAAGATGCTCCAACATATAATTTTTTTCGCACCACACAAAAAATATATTGAGGTCATCACTGATTTAAAAGATTTAAAAGAAAATAAATTGAAATACCAATTACAGTATGATATCACCCAGATAATTAAAACTATATAAAATAATATATAAAATAATATAAAGTAAAAGATAAATAACCATAAATGAAATCATGGAATAAAAAAATAAAAAAAATTGAATAAATATAAATAATCAAAAAATATATACTAAAATTAAAAAAAATGTATATATAAAAAAATAAAAAAATTAATAAAATAAAAAAACAAAAGAAAATTTACAATAAAGTTTAAATCTTCGTCGACCAGTGACTTCTGATAAGTCTGAAATTAAATTTCTATTATTCGTGAGGATGATATCATATTTTGAGATTCTGACTGCTTCTTTCGCACCAAGAGAGAAACTGTTCCTCGATGATGATCCCACCGCAACACCAACCATCCCACTCGACTCTCGATTCAGCACTGCCTCCACTCATAAACAACGGGATGACCTTGTAAATGTTGTAAATTTATATTGATTAAAAGATTTATATACAACTGATAATACCTATATCTACTCGTTTCCAGTTTTTAAATTGGATAATAAATGGAATTTGATGCATACCTCCTATTCCATTGTCCCCTGGTCGTCAATAAAATAATAAAAATAAAAACCATAAACATTCACAGTCATATGTCTTGGCCATGAAAGTTTCTCCATTACTTACTCATGATCCTATTCACATAAATTCCCAGAAACATCTGGAAGAAAGTTCGTGGCCACGGAGAACTTTCGATTTCCAAATTTCATTCGGATGTGATAAGATAACACAACAACTCAACAGTAAGACAACTTACACTGTATGTTCACATACCACACCGTTATCTTTTAAGGTTTTCAAAGTTTGTTTTTCTAAACGTTTGCCTTTGGCGTAAGCAGAATTTCTTCCAGACATTGTTAAAGAAAGAATTTGAATGAATTATGTCTGATTTTATATTTTGTTTGAATTCTTGAGTTTTTGGAATATTCTTTTGTTAAACTTTGGCATTGTTTTGAAGGAAACCTATTTTATACAAAAAAATAATACATGAATCTTGCGATTTGATTGGTCTGCCCTTAAAAAAATCACATAATTCGGTGGCTTGCGGTTTATACCATATTTATTTGGTAAAACTGGTCCAATTACAGTCAAGCTAAGTGGTTGGTGTAATTCGTAAAAATTAAATTCGGTTTATCGGGGTTTTAATTAGTGCTTCGGTTTAACGAGGTTTGAACTGTACTCAGCTCATTAAAGCATTCGCCCACTTGTACCTACGCAAAAAATTGAGTATTGGAATACATAGCTCGTTTTTATCTTAATCATGTTCTTGTAACTACTTGCTGATTTCTTCGTTCTTTATCCGCCAGTTGCGAACATAGGACACGGATCGTAACCTTGACCGACATTAATGCGGACATCAAAGGCAACATATACCGATACATGCTTTATTGTTAATCTTTACAAATATGTATTCAAAGAAACCTAAGCTTTGATTACAGAGGTTGCTCTTTTGCCTCAACTTCCTAAATTTTGCATCACCAAATTCAACTTGCATTATTATAAACTTTGCCTTTCTGATGTATTTTTGATGAATGATAAATTGTATTTGCTAATGAATCCATTTGCATACATTGTAAATTCGTATAAAGTTTTTTAAATTCGTTATTACTTACAAAAATACATACAACAAAATTTTAGAGATGCTATGATAAAATCACCAATAATGATGCTTACACTAAAGATTAAGTTACGGATGCCAGATATTAAAATATACACGAATAAAATTAATAAAAATATTTTACAACCAAAATTATTCAATCGTCACATCGTTCGTGAACCAAGTATCCTCTTCTGTATACCCAGAAAAAAGTTCCACTTTATTTATCGGTCGAATTTTAGCTAGCAGTGGTAGCTCGTTAGAAGGGGCGGGGAAAACCTTGTGGTAATCGAATCCTTGATTCGGATTTACCAATTCTAGCTCAAATCCTAATAGAAGACGAGCGACGACGAATGCACAAATGTTTATGATGATTGATTGTCCATCACTTTTGGATTGAAAAAAAAAATAAGGTAAGATTTCTAACGAAAACAATCGAATTCGATGCACGTAGACCTAATTCCATACCTTCGATGTTTTTCGCCACATCCAAATGGAGTCCATTCGAAGCCAGTCTCTATTTCAGAAATCTCATTTTCAAATCGTTTTGGATTAAATACTTCGGGATCTTTATGTACATCCGGATCGAACCCTAATAATTATACTGTATGTAATTAGAATTTCTAAAATTTTGCATAAATGCACTCACGTACATGTATATACAAACCTGTTGCCCATAAACCACCAACAATTGTTTTTCCTTTTGGAATTTGATATCCACAAATTATAAATTCTTTTGCAGAAGTTCCTATTAATTAAATTCATTGTCTCGTCGATTAAAAATTATTGTTGTTTTCGTTGTTTTCATGGAGACAAAGAAACAAAGAACCAACCAAATTGAAATGGATTAATCGGAAAAATTCGTAGTGATTCTTTAATGACATTGGTCAAATTAGGAAGTAAGAGATTGATTGACAATATATCATTTTGCAAAGAACTTTGATTTTTTTCTAATTCCGTCATGATATTCGAGTAGATTTCTACACATTTTTAAAGTATCGGGATGAAAAATCTATCATAGTGTATAAGAAACAGAATACGCAAGTAAATACCAGATTTCTTATGTTGCAATAAACAAATTAATGTAGCAGAAATTGCAGACGCGATTCGATGCAACGAAAACACCAAATGCTGAATTTCCATAATAATTGTATCGTTTGCTAATGGAGGTTCGACAGTCATCAAATGTTTCATTGTGTCGTTATATCTTTCTGGATCTGAACGGTGTTCGGCCAGACGTCGGTGTGAGAAGTCACGTAGTTCCTTTGAGAAAGTCATTCCCTTTTTTTAGGTGGATAAAACAAACTTTATTAGCATTTAAGTTATTATTACTTATTCATTAATTTAAATTAACCGATGTGAAGGTAATTTATCCCTTTATCATCTGTTTTTCGCTTAGTTTATAGATTGAATGCTAATGCATGATAAATTATTATTAGCAACCTTTAGCTCACTTGTCATTTTATTTATTTTCCTAATAAAACCACTGTCGGCTTCGTGACTCCATAAAATTTGAGTTATTAGACGGACTATAAATGCTCGTAATAATCGCTCAAAATAAAATGTCGTGTATTTATATACTTGGGATTCTACTCTTAGATCTTGGAGGAAAGAACGTGTACCGTTGCGTAATACATTGAAAATATGGTTTAAATGATCCGTATCATGTATCGCTTCTAAAATCGTCTCTATAAAGCATTTATGAAACGTAACAAAAAAAAAAGAATCAATAAATTTGTTGTATACATAGAATGACTTGATAGATAATGAACACACCATTACTATTTCTATGCTCTTCACCATCCATCATATTTCCCAGAGTACTTGAACCATTAAGCAAATAAGGATTCAGGAACGTTGACACATTTCCTCGGATCACGTACCGCTCGTTATAAAATGCCTGGATCCCTTCAATCCCTGATAGGTGATAAATTTCGTGTTTCTTGAATGTGGCATCAAGTCCTCGTATTTTTGCTTTTACAACTTTTCCCTGTCTCGCAAGTCCTTTTGACCATTCATAGACGGATCTGGCGATCTTTATAGTGTCCCCAAACAATGGAAAATTAAATTTACTCCGTGGGGGACTTGTATGTGTTGATGCTTTCTTCATTATTCTTTTTTTAAGAGTAGTATTTACCATGGGAAAGCGTGTGGGTAATTATGTATTTGCGTGTGTAAGTGTGTATATCGATATATAACTGATAAAATGAATCAGCTGCATTTATATATCTTTCATTTTTTTGAGTATAACGTTATTTATTGTAGTAACTATATATGGTACGTAACATAACATAAAAACCATTCCAAATTGTGTTTTATGGCGACAACATACATTACACTAACGCAGATATTTTGAAAAAATGATGTCTTATTTGTAGCATAAAATTTCGAAACTTTTTCCCGTACCTGTTGCAGCGTTATGTAACGATATCGATATACATGTTGCATGTATGTATGTTAAATTATAAAGAAACCGAAAAAGGTGTAAGTGAGCATAGATCATTTTTTTGTAATTTGTTTGCTTGTTTGTTTTTTTTAATGATCATGTAGATTCCTTTTTGAGACTATTTTATCGTCAATGGGAATGGAATAGTGATAGTGCAAAAAGCGGCAAAAGTGTGATTACATATGGCTTTAATAAATAGCATTATAGACTAATTTTTTACCATTTATTCATTCGCCTACTGAGAGATACAAGTCACACTACAGTCGATGACAACCAGTAATTAACTACCTTCTCGTAAATATTCCAGAACGATTCGTAAAAACCCCGAATACGAATTGAAATTTGATGAGTTTTAGCACATACCGATAACTTTTGATGGGTTTTTTTTTTCAAGAAAAGGCAATATTCAACGAGAGTTATGCGATAGAGTGATTCCTTTAAGCCCAATAAATAAAAGGTTTAAAAATAGCTCATTCAATACACATGTACATGTATGTATATACACATATACGTATGTGCAATCATGCAAGTGAATAAACTAATGCTTTCCGATTCGTTAAATGTATGAACGCGCACACCTAAAATATACCAATACGTACTTTACTTGAGAAGACGAATACTTTTTCTTTAGATAAAACTTGTTTGACTTCATATTAAAACCTTATATTAAGAGACATGTGCGAGTCAATTTTTTCCTTATGCAAGAATTCTATTCCTATATTTATTTGTTTTTTAAATTTGATACTATGTACAGCCACTTTTACTATGAAAACAAAAAGAAAATGGAAATAACGTTAACGTAACGTTAATTATAAATGAAGTAATTGAATTGACTGATCAATTCTATTTTTTATCGAAATTGATAATATTAATATTGGAATAGGAATTTTATTAATCGCTATCCTATTTATATCATACTGGCATGATCAAGAAGTCGCTACAAAAAGAGACAGAAATTTTTCAATGGAGTAGATTCAGTTAACTTTGGTTCATGAATTTACAAAACATTACGTACAATTCACGTTGCTTTAGATAAATTAGTTGCGCTTTTGTTCATTACTCTCAAGAAAAAGTCAACACCAATACTGTGTTCCCTTCTCCTAGACAAGTTTTGCGGATACACAAAATATAATTAGATTCTTATCAAGTTAGAAAAAATGTATAACTTTATATACGATTCCACATTTATGTGCAATGCAAGTTGCGTACATGTTTAAATAATAAATGTTTTTTTTCTTCTATAATCTGTACATGTATCGTTCGTTATAGAAATCAGAGTAAATCTGGTTATAATGGCATTTTAAATTTTAGTTTAATTGCCTGGATATTCAAAGCACTTGTATCTTAATGGAGGTTTTATAAGGCATGGTCGTACGATTACAACGAGCTAAATGATCGAAATAATATGCCCAAAGATGTGTCAAAATCATTACGTGATTCAAAGCATAACGAAAATTTCGAAATGTAAAACATGATATTTTATGGTTCCTAATACATGCACATGTATTTGATTGGCGCACTACTTGCGACAGTAGATATTTCTAAAATTACAAGCATTTTCATTGCAACGGCAACAGTATATTAATTAATACCAAAGAAAGCAAATTATGATAACTTTCAATATGTTAACGCTCTTTTTCGTAGATAATAATTGTTGCTTGTTTCGTCGTTATTTTCAAAATGGACCGCTCGTTTATTTACGCATGTTGGATACAATTATAATATAAATCTGCCCGCATTTATACATTTAGATCTTTTACCAGCCAGTCAAACATGAGTTAGTTCACTTCATTCTCCTATGGTCTAAGTGGATCGATACATGTAGCAGTACTTATAACAACACGTACTGAATACTAATATTTATATCTATTACAGCATTTAGTTGCATCCCGTAGTATATCAAAAAGTAAATTATAATTGTCTTTGTCAGTTAAAGGAAGCTATAAAAATTGTTGCATATACGTATTTCTCTTATTTTATTTAAACAGACTAAAAGTGTTTTTAGCATAGTCTAATGCCATTACATATGAACTTGTACCTATTTCGCGAAATAACACTCATGAGCATTATTTCTAACATCCTTTGAAAATACCACAAAATAACGGTCATGGTGTCACGAAATAACGCACACCTTCATAAGGACGACTCGCCTATTTTTTTTTAGTATATATAAAATTTTCTATATAAAATTTTTTTTGCTAAATTTTTAATATTAAACCTATAACAAATAATATATTTAATTATAATTAAAATCATCTATTTCTGTGTACCTATATTATATACTTAAATTTACATTTTTTATTTATAGTTTGTTTCTTATTTTTTTGTTTAATTCATAGCATTATTAATAAGACCAATTTGTATTAATCATTTTCGTACTATATTTACAAAAATAGACTCACAAATTTATTCTTATTATAAATTATTATTTAAATTTTCTATTCTAAAAATATTTAATTAATAGTCTAACTAGAATTTTATAATAAAATCTTGCAATGGTGTTATCATATGGTGCCAGCCAGTGTTGTATATTTTGAATGTCCAATTCAAATTTAATTCATAAATATGATAAATAACACTTTCTTAATTACATTCACGGATTAAATTTTGATCCAACCATAACGATAGCATTTTTTCGTTTGGCCGATCTTTTGTATTGCATAAGTTCATAAAATTAAGCTACATACACGAAAATAAGGGTTCAAATTTATTTAAATTATAAATTATTATTAAAAAAACACAAATATACTTAAATTTCTATTCTGAACATATTTACTTAATAGTATAAAGCAATTTTAAAATAAAATTTTGAGATATTGAGTCTACGGAAATAGGCCTTATTTTTTAATATTTAAAGTGTATCGATATGCATACCCTGTCAGCACTTTGAATATTACAAAGCAAAATAATGAGTTTTCCTTCCTGAAAAGCTAGGATAAACTGTTCTCGGGTTTGATTATTAGTTGGACCGATACTTAATCCTACTTCTTTTTTTTTTAATAATTCGGCTCAAGAGAAGATTCGCTACGGCCCTGTAATTTATCTAGTACGAAGCAGAAAATCGACACTTTGTCTCGGAAAAACGCGCCGGTGGGCATTATTTCGCGGAATACAATATCTCCGAATAATTTTTATTGCGCTGAATGGCAAGTCATCAATTTTAATGAATATCGATTCTAGTCGGAATTGCTAAGTATATTTATCACGTGAATTAAAAAGTGAAACGTGAAAACGAGATTTATCTGTTAAGCTATCCAATTCTGGACTTAATATTAAATTCATAGAAATATTTATTTCTCTGAATTTTTTAATAGATCAGTTGAATCATATTACTTAATCTCCAAAAACATGTCTCTAGGATTTTTTGAAATATTAAAGATTATTTAAAAATGTTTGGAATTGGGATATTCACGATGAAAAATATATATTAAGAAATTTGTCTTTAGTCATTAATTAAAACTATTCAGTTGATATATTTATAGTTATTCTTAAAGTATCATATAAGAACATTTTGATAATAATAAAAATCAGTTAAAATTTTTAAATTTAAACTTTTTAAAATCCAAAGCTTCTAATATGTAAACTAATTTAAATTCTATTTAATTTCTGCACTTACACATTCTATATATGTAAATGTATTTTGAAAATCGTACGAAAGTTTACATGTACTGTACATGTAATTAGAATATTTCACTAGTGATTAACTAAATTAGGGATTTTTTCGCGACCACGCCCCATTTCAAGATGCACATGCTTTGCATTGGTTGCGTCCACGTAATGCGTAACTAAACAACTTCAAACATATTTAATCGTTAAGGCAGGTTCAGTCGCTTCTTATAAAAGAACATGGTGTCTTGAAGTTTGCAAATTCCTCATCTTTTACCCGATAGTTGCCCTTTACCAATAATTCTTTTTCTTTACAGTCAAATATAAATCTAATTTTATAATTTATTCATAAAAAATATTTAAAATGACCAGCAAATTTGTATATATCTCTGCTTTGACTTATGTCTCTGGCTCCTGTCTCCGCCTCTCTACTCCAGCGACGTGATGGTTCCTTAATGGAAATGCTAATGTTGGCAACTTTAACGGCAACAATAATGGAGACTGGAACGATGATTCCTTCAATGGAAATGGCAACGGAAATTTCAATTGGGGTTGCTGGAACGGAAACGGCACCCATTAAATTGGTTTATAAAAATCCCATTTAGTTAATTTCTCGCCATATTTGTAAATATTAATAGAAGCATTAAAATTTTTACGTCTATATTAAAAAATCATTTATATTCTGAATCGAATTATTTCGATACATGTAAGACATTACTAGGGTTAAATTGAGACATATATAATTGCTTATGCAAAAACGAATAAATAATAGTAAAAACAAAATTTAGGCTTATATGATTTGCTTTTACAAATTTTATTTACTTTTATAATTTAAGCTGTCCAATCAAGAGAATTAACGATAAAGAAAGTTGATATGATCTTTAGCGAAGCATAATTGAATAGGGTAGGTTTCATCCAAGGCTAAATAATACTAAAAAATTACAAAATTACAATTTATCCATTTTTTTGCCCAAGAGCAAGTTACATTTCCGAATATATCTCATGTTTTAGATTAGTATTGCAAACAAATCGGAGAGCTAAATAGCATGAAAAAATTA